GTCTTTGTGTGCAGCTAGATCTTACGTCAGCAACCAGAACCAAGCTTAAAAATTCTGATATCTCATTAAAAACATTATTTTCTAAATGTCCCATTTTTTAAATTGTGAGCTTCTCAGCTAGGACGCTGAATGCAGAACTTATAGATTTACAGTGAAACACAAGGCCACAGAGAGAGAAATGCAAAAGGGGGAAAAAAATGCCCCAAACTTGCTTTGGGATGATACAAATTATGGTTTATGATTGTTAAAAAAATAATAACTGAGCATGGTGTAAAATCATCAAACAGGATATTCATCAAACACATGCACAGGTTATACATCAAGGCTACTCAAACGTCGGTGATGAAATAAATAGAACGAAGGTAAACATGCTGAGACTGTGCCGGGCACCACGAGATTGTACACATCTCAACTACGAGACGACCCGGAGCTCAATGTGCCTCCGTGAGAGCGACTTTCTGCCGTCCAAGTACTATTGAATAAGGCGAAACGCTGCCTGAGGTTTCCCATCAACGATATGGAGATAAACAAGACGGGCGGGTGGATCCACTTTATTCCGAGTTATGATGGAACATAACATGTAAAATACTACAGACCGTGTGTCGACTACCTACAGTGTGAGGGAGGAAAATAGGAAAAGTGTGTTTTAGATTGAGGAGTACTGAGTACTACGTGCAAAGTGGTTCTTCCTTGTTGTGTGAGCTTCAGGCACAGCAGCACAACCTCAGGCTGCCAACCGGAAACACGAAACAATCAAAACTAACTGGTCCCGATGTTCCTCGCTGGCGGTCTGATGAACGGCTTCTGTGGTTCATCCTGACCGACACGTCTGACAAACAACATTTCTGCCAAATTGGCCGTGTTGCGAAACCGAAGCCGCTCCTCCACAAACCGTTCAGGCCTCACTGAGCGCAGATACGTGAGGCCCGGACGGTAAATAAATTGGATGTTCACACAGCGTCTCCCATTTAATGTGGCGAAGAAATGACACACGACTGAATCCATAATTGAGATTCAAAATGTGCACCAGCGTAATGAGACTCCGGTTCTCTCGAACCTGAATTTGAAGTTCCACGTTTACGTGGTGTGTGTGTGTGTGTGTGTTTTAATGAAGGTGATGGCCGTAGCACGATGTAATATCAGCAAAGCCTTTCAGAGGTAATAGAGAAAATGCTGCTCATGGTTTAGCGCTGCCTTCTGTTACAACACTTCACCATTGCTTCGTGCAACACCAGTTACAGAAAATGAACCCCGGGGGATCGGCGGCGGGCGAGTCAGTTAGCTGCACCGCTAATTCTACCAGGATCTCATGCTACAGGAAAAAGAACCCATGAGCGGCTGGTTGGCTAACGGTCCCCTCGCCTCAGTCCTCACCACGAGGAGACCACTTTGCCTGGAGACGAGCAGGCGGGAGCTCGGGAGGCTAGCTAGTACACTCGCTAGTTAGCGGGCTAGTTAATTAGCTCACTACTATCTAGTAGCTAGCAAGGTAGTGAGCTAAATTACCCAAATTACAAATCTCCCTCAGAGGGCTTTACAGTTTGTACACATGCGACATGCCGTCCCCGAAACCCTCACCCTTTGATTAGGGTGCATTAGCTCGCTAACTAGCTAGCAACGTGGAGCAAATATGGTGCATATGTTGGTAAATGTCAACTTTCTCTCTACATGTGTTTTTTTCAAAACTATACCACAATTAATTTAGTTTCCTGAACAACTTTCCCAGGCTGCACTTTGTCTTAAAGCAAAAACTAAAAGTATGCAAAACCTGCATGCTGCAATCGGCACTGCATTTTTTGGGAGCCTATAATTGCAGCCCAGGTGGTATTAGTAGTAACTGTCAATGCAGTTTGTGGTGAAAACGGTCACATTCTGTGTTTGTGTGCTATGAATATATTGGTAACCTTGTTTGTTGTGGCCCAAACGGTTTGCAATAGTAAATGTGATGAACATAATTCATCTCATATGGTCCATTGACTGTAATTGGCCAAACAGACAAACTCCCAACCTTGAGTCCTGTGAATTGTGGGTTCCAGTTGAAATGCTCTGCAATCACTGAAGAGTGTCGGCAAAAGTCACTGTGAAGTTGAGTTGGAATATATTCACAAACTTTCTCATTGGATTGAATGAGAAAATGTGTCCAAACTGTTGACTGGTATATAATTAAAACTTATATTCCCCATAAATGGTAAGAAAGAAAGCATACTTGCCGCCCGTATCACTGAAAACTGACATCTGATTTATGGGTAATCTCCATCATTAAGCTGTAGGATTTCCATCATCTTTCCCTCATCCTCCATAATTCCTTCCATTCTTTTTACAACAGTCTCCTTCTCCTTTGCTCTCCTTGATCACTTTCCCTCTCTGTCTGTTTGTACTGCATGTGTGTCTGTGTGTGTGTGTGTGTGTGTGTGTGTGTGTGTGTGTAGACTGTAAGTTCCATCGGTTTGACAACAAAGCTTAAGTTGTCACAGAGACTCTGTACGGCAATTACCTCCAATTCCACTATTCACCTCCAGCCTCACAATCACTTTCTTCTTTTTGCAAGAAATCCCTTTTCACAAATCTCACAAACGTCAGTTTTTTGTAAGATTAAATCTTAAGTAAGTTTTATAAAACCGTTGCTAGTTTCAAAGGGATTCAGTCACAAGTCAACATCAGTTGAGGCTAAATAATAAATGATTGCGTGAAATAATTGCTCCTTCTGTGATCAAACGACAATACATTTAAGACAACGTGTCCGTCAGGAGCAAAAGAGAAACGCACCCCTGAGTCTGAGCATCTGGGATGGTCACAGTTTACCACTATTATCAATGTCTTTTGATCAATGATTTTGTATAACGTTGAAAGGAAAGTGAAAGATGTGAAAACAACAAAGATGTCACAGTATGAATTACGATCCTCCGTCATTAATCACACACAAAAAAATAAATCCATTTGTGCCCCAAAGGATTTGCATTCTGCAGGACTGAAGCTGTGATGGGAGCTTTTTATCTCCATGAAGTCGAGTCGTCGATAGTCCGACTGTGATGTGCAGTCTGATTAAAATGTTTGGGGTAAAATATTTGGATCACAATTAGGCTCGGCGCTTAGGAGCAACGTGTAACTCACTTTAATCGTTGTTTACCTGCGTCTCGTGCCATCAGGAGGATTTATTTATGGCAGCTCATGGCAGGAAATCCCATCAATAATAAACGCTGTACCGACGCCAGCTGTGATCCCACCAGAGGTGCAAAGTAAACAAGTTCATCAACTCGAGTGCTGTGGCGCATTTAAATTTGAATACGATTTGAATAATAATGTCTAATACCACACGGTTTATTTCAGAGGAAACCATACAGGAATACGTTGCCTTTACAGAGAAACATTTGGCATCTTATGTTCATTCTTTCTGCACATTTTACTGACAATTCTTTCTCCACTTTTGATTTTAACGTTTATTTGTCAAAGCTTTTTACTTTTCTACCATCATTACTTTCCAGCGGCGTCGCAATAATCCCAGTTGTCTTCATGCACAAATATGCCTTTTCAATGATTGGATATAGTTAGAAAACGTTTCGTCAAACACACACACAACGCCCCCCTACAATTCAACCTGCCAAAGACGATGATGGTCCACTTCTACACGGCCATCATGGAGTCCATCCTCTGCTCCTCCATCAGCGTCTGGTACGCTGCAGCCACAGCCAAGGACAAGGGCAGGCTGCAGCGTGTCCTCCGCTCTGCAGAGAGGGTGATCGGCTGCAATCTGCCGTCCCTGCAGGACTTGTCCGCTTCCAGGTCTCTGAAGCGAGCTAAAAAGATGGTAGCCAACCCCTCTCACCCCGGACAAAAACTGTTTGTGCCCCTTCCATCTGGCAGGAGGCTGAGGTCCATCAGGACTAAGACCTCCCGCCCCACCAACAGTTTCTTCCCGTCGGCAGTCGGGCTCATCAACAGAGCCGGTCCCCCACTGACTGACTATAACACTCCACCGGTCACTCCCCCTCACACTGCACACGTCACTTTAACTGCAATTCATCACTTTGTCGTCACTTTGTTACTTGTTTGTTAGTGCACTTTATGCTTAATATTTTTCTTCTTAACTTTTTTAATATTTACATTTTTTAACTTTATTCCCTTGTTTTATACTAACCCATAGCCTTATTCTACTAACCCACTGCATTAGCATTTCATTTCACTTTATTTTATTACTTGTGCACTGCTGTCTTGTCTACTGTCGCGCACTAACCGCCAAGACAAATTCCTTGTATGTTTGGCATATTTTGGCAAATAAATGTTTCCTGATTCCTGATTCCTAGCCTGTAAACACACACCGACATACACCCGACATTCAATCCTGAGAAACATTCAAATAATATTCCCTCACCTGTGGTTCTGTTTGAAAATAATCTCCTGCATTTATGCTAATAGGGATTTAACCAGGAGCAGCCCCCCTCGCCCCCCCTCGCCCCCCCCCCCCCCCCCCCGGGGATCCCTTCTCTTCGCTTAAGTCTCAGGGCAAATAAAAAAGCTATGAATACATTTTCCCCTTCTCTCCCACCCACTATAAAGTATGCTTTTAATAAAAATGGCCTGCGGCACAATGGTTCAGGGTGGGGGGGCCGAGTAAAGGGCGCCATTTCATTTGTTCTGCGATAAGACGGAGCGTCGAGCTGCTGAGCTACAGAAGCACGAGTCTCCCTCATGGTTATTTAGGACACAAGGTGCGAGCGACAGAGCGAGGGCTGTGTTGTTATTAAAATTCACTTTAAAGTGAGGAATCATGAAACTAAAAAGGTGCACTCAGTAGAGCCCCCCCAACCCCCACTTACCCCCCCATCTACGCATTCTGTTCACTTACGCTGCGTCCCGTTTCTGTTTGGTTCTACATTAGGTTCTTATCGATGTTCTCCGGGCCTTGAGGAGCATGTTGCCTACATGTAATGGTCTGACGTCGGGGGGGGGGACGTAAGTCTTAACTTAACGCCTCTTTCGTCTCTTTGTCGATGTTCACTCAGGATGGGAAATGCCTCCGAAGCATTTCTGCTGGTGTCCAGAATATCGAAGGGGAATGACTTCCTCATGGGGACCCTCTACACCATCTTCGGTAAGACATTTCTTTCTTCTCCGTGGTTTTTTTTTTTCTTCTCTCAAGGCTCCCCCCCCCCCCCCAGGTGTGCTCTCCATGCTGGGGAACGGCATCCTGCTCTTCGTGGCCTACAGGAAGAATCCTCCCTGAAGCCGGCGGAGTTCTTTGTGGTCAACCTGGCCATCAGTGACCTGGGAATGACCCTCACCCTGTTCCCTCTGGGCATCCCCTCGGGCTTCGCTCACATGTGAGTCACACTTCCCACCCCCCCCTCCCCTCAGGGTGTCGCGGTGGACATATATAAAGGGGGGCCCGTGTCACACAGAGGAAGTAACAGGTCCCCCCCCCCCCCCCCCCCTTCTCCAGGTGGCTGTTCAACAGGACGACCTGCATGGTCTACGCCTTCTGCGGCGTTCTGTTCGGCCTCAGCAGCCTGACCAACCTCACCATGCTCTCCTGCGTGTGCTGGCTCAAGGTCTGCTGCCCCCACTACGGTAAGACCCCTCCCTCTGTGCTGGAGGCCTCTGGAGAGCAGTCGATTACTAGATTTATGGGGAAATTAACCGCTTCAATTTTTTCAATTAAATATTCTATGAACTATTTAACGTCGCTGCCTCAAAAAGATCGTTCAACGGGACGCTTAGTCGAGCCACATTTTATTATGTCTGCATAACTATAATGTATAAATTAGATTCAGATTAAGATTAAGACTGTAAACTTATAATTTCATGTTTGTACAACTTGAAATGTCTTTAATGACGCGTTCATTAAAAACACGTTGATTAAAGTCAAACATCTTATTTTCCTCAACTGTATTTTCTAAGTTGAAGGTTTCCTCCCTCAAGGCAGCGGGTTACTTATTATTATGAATTGAACAAGCTGATGTATTATTTACAGTGTAAAACCAATTAATGAATCCCTGTTAGTGCACTACCGTGGATCCGTTCGTTAAAAAGCAAAAGGCCTTGAAAGGGGAGAGAGAACCGTTGATGCTGAAAGCCAATGAACTCACGCCGAAGTCAAAGTGGCCACCGAGCGAAATGTTCATTTCCAAAGCCACGCTTCAACCTCCGAACAGCAGGATATGACAATACATTTAGGGTATCAGTAATCACCAGTGTTGGGCAAGTTACTGAAAATGAGCATTTAGTTACAGTTACTAGTTATTTATTTTAAAGGTAATTGAATTACTTACCAGTTACTGTGTATCAAAAGTAATTAGTTACTCTGGAAAGTAACTTTTAAGTCTGCTTTTTAAATGTAATGAATATAAATAGTACCGAACAGTCAAACACAATAAACATATTTTTTAGACCTATTTATTTTAATCAACAAGGCAACAGGCCTTCAAATCCAGCAATAGTACCAAAGTCCTTTTTAATACTTAACTTAATACAGAATAACTGTTTCAGGCGTTTGCCTGAAGGCAACTGACTGACAGTTGACAGGATGCTTCTCATCTCCAACACAGCGAGCGATCAATCAATCAGCTCTGCCCGGTTCATCGCTGCACTGCAGTCGTGTGAAGTGGAGCCCTGGTTGTTTGCGTGGAGCGGCGCCTGCAGCATCCGGCGCTCCTTCGTCGTGAGCGGCGCGATGCTGTTTACGTGCACGCACGCCGACTATTCTGTGACGCACAACGTTTGGTGGCCACAACTATTTTGTGCTGACAGGCAACTATTTACTTACTATTTGCCGGCGTCACAAAAGAGAGTAACGCGAGTAACGAACTCATTTCAATCTCAGTAATTGTAATTAATTTATTTTTAAAAATACTTTGTTACATGCTCGTTACCGCTAAAAGTAGTGGAATTACAGTTACTTTGTTACTTTGTTACTTAATTACTTTGTTGCTTAATTACTTTGTAGCGCGTTACTTTGTAACGTTACCTTTAAATGGTAGAAGTATTCCTCTGTTTCGAAAGGCTGAACGCCAAACTATATATATATATATATATATATATATATATATATATATATATATATATTGGATGCCTCCATGAAGAAACCAGCTGTTTCTTTTTGCGGTGAAATGTTTTAGGGAAACCTGGAATCGATTCAGATCTTGAACCTGAAATGTGTGACTTTGCTTTGGAGTAAAATATTTGCATCTGATGAGTCATACAACTATAATACTCATTTTATTAGCACGGCCTACTCTTTATCTGCATTTGCACAGAAATACTCGGATTAAAAAAACTCAATAACAATTTGAAGGTCAATGAATGAAGCTTTGGAGCTTTGAAGCTTCAGTGCAGCCCTCAAATGAATGAGTAGCATATTGTTAATGATTAACACTGCACCCAATTAACTGTATTAAAAATATGCCCACTGAAAAATGAATCTGATAATATAATCCTCTTTTGTTACGATTAAAAAATAAACACTTGCTAGAGATGAAATATAAATTGGAGATGTTTGCTAATCAGCTGTAACAACCTGGCAACCAGCGCGGTGACGTCGCAACTCCAAAGAATCCAAATCAGACGTTAAGATAAACCTCCACACAAAGACAAACAACAGGAAAATCAAAGGTACAATATATTTTGACTTCTGTCTCAAGTCAATAACAATTCTTCTCCTGTAGATGTCTACTCAGGTTTTTACAAACATTCTTTATTACAACTTTATTAATCAACGTGAACTCCTTTCGCTCCACATCAGCCCGACCGACGAGTCTTCAAGCGGAACCGTATTAATGATCTCGATGCTTCATCTTTTTTTTGCCATTGAAGATTCTTTCATTAGCAGCGACATTTCTTTTTTTTTTTTTTACACTGTCAGAAAAGAAATAGAAACGTTTTCTTCATGCAGAAAGTCCCATCAGCCAAATCCACTTTGCCATGAAGGGATTTCTTTAAGACTCGCAATTCACTCCTAATTTCATCATTAAACCAAATCCACATTTTGTCTTTCTTTGAAAATGAGATTCGTCAAAGCACTTCTTCACATAATGAATAGATTACAATGGATTAAGAAACATGAAATATGCAATACACACAAATTGGTATCAGCTGTTTCTGCTAAATAGTTTAATTTGAGTCTCGGACACGATCGTCTTTGACGGTCCTCAAGTCCTTATTCTGTGAACATTAAACATTATTGTAACGCAGATTCCTTCCTTCTAGAATATAGAATACAGGAGCGAGCCAATCGAAGCCTTCCTGCTTTAATAAGGAAAAGAAGGTGGATTATATTAAGGATCAGATGAGCCACCTGGTATCCGTACAAAGTCTTTAGCAGTTAAGATAAAGAAAGTTTGCAGTTTTATTCACATTTGCATGAATTGGGTCAATATTGAATCATATTTAAACACAGATTTATTTTTGGAAGACCGGTCCTTGTTTCCGTCGTTAACGACGTCACTGTTGAAATAGAGAATCACATTAAAAAGCATCGCGGCGTTTGTCTGAATGTGTTAAACGCGCAGCGGAGTCTGTTCGGGCTGCAGCCGGTTCAACGCGCAGCGTGAAAAAGAAACACATGACGCCCAGTGTTTCAAATGCAAATGAGCATAAATAATTACGCCTCGGGGGGAGACTTTCCCAGCGAGGAGCCGTGTAGCGATGTGCTCGCCTTGCAGAACACGCCGCCCTCTCGCCTCTGAACACGCGGCCGTGAAACCAGGACGCGACAACGTTCGCTGTTTGCTTATTTCATCTTTACTTTGTCAGCCGCTCTCATTAAGTTTAAAACCTGCTCCTAAGCAGAAACAACACAAAACAAGGGCCTGCGCAGTCTGCAGCTCCGTCACCTGAGGGGTGGAGAGCAGCGTGAGGGTGGAGGATATCCGATCGCATGGTGACCACGGCTTGGTCCTCCAAAGCATCCCAATGTGTCCAGAGCGTCGACAGGAAGCTACTCAGTTTGGACGGAGAGCATCGATTAGAAAACACGGGAGAGGGTTTACAGAACGGATCCAAACGTCTGAGGAGACTAAATTGCAAAATGCTCAAAGCAAAAGCTGAATTGTATCTGTGAAAAAAAACACATTAAGAACAACCAGAAAGATCGAAGCACCAACTGGAGGAGCAGCAGCTTGTGCAGACGGGGGGAATCCAAAGGCCTCCACCTGGAGGACAAAGTGGAGCTCAAACTGTTTCCTCGCGTCAGCAATCTTCAAAACGGGAATGAGTGGTTTCATGATGAAGAAAAGCTTTAACGTGGAGGGTTCTGCATGAACAGGAGTAATGGAGGGATACCAGGATCGGGCTAAGAGTCAAATAAAAACCCGATAATCACGAGGTGGTCATTGAATTCAACGTGGGCAGACAAACCCGAACGGTTTTAACTTAATTGAAGATATAGAAACTCTCATTTTCATCCAACAGCTTCTGTAGAGAAGGGGAGAAAAAGAATCCTCCTGAGTCTAAACTCACTTCTTCATAGAACCGATCAGAGAACTGCACAGGATTTACACTCGAGCTCATTAAACAGTCGTCCCGCGTGGTCTGAACACGACAGGAACACGATAGGAACCAGGCGTGCAGACGAGATGTTTGGATCCACCTCACTGACATCAGGATGAGGGGCCTGAAGTGTTGATGGCTCGGGGACGCGTGTGAGATGAATCACTGGTACACAAACACGATGCACGTGTTGACTTGTGCAGAACCAGAGACCAGAACCAGCCGATCTCCGGGTGTCCCTCATCAGGACCAAGCGTGTGCCCAGGATCCTCACGCTCACGTAACAGAACCCCTGATTAACCCGTAGAAGAAGAGAGAAGGACATGCGGTTTTATTTACCTCGGCTGGAGTACCTCACACCTACTGCTATTAAATAACTGCCCCCCCCCCCCCCCACACTCCTATTTATTATATCGGAAATTGATTCCCCTCTCACCCACGCCCTCATTAAGATGGGGGGGCTCACATTGGAAGGCTTTTGGCAGTAACAGAGTTCAGCGTCGACCCTCCACGAGAGTCAGATCGGCTTCACCGAGTAAACGCCTTCTGCCCCCCCCCCCCCCCCCCCCCCAAAGCATCAGCCGACGACTAGCGGCTCGCTCTCCCTGAGCGAGGTCGACATCATCTCTCTGTCCCCCCCACCCACCCTCTCTCACTCCATTACTGTCTTGGGGTTTCGTCCCCTGAACCCCCCCCCCCCCAAATCATCATGATGCTCCTGTCAGTTCCGGCGGTCAGATGAGCGATGAGTGGAGGGACGGTTCATTAAACGCTAAATGGACGTGTAATTGCCCCCCCCACCTCCCCCTCCCACCCACACCACACTGCCTCGAGGAGATCGAACCGTCTGATTGAAGGACAACCTGCTGCCCCCCCCCCCGGGCTGCGTTACGCCCGGGCCGAATAAAATGATTTGACCGATTTATTAAGGTCCAAAGACAACAGATTCTTTTCTGTTTGCTGTCAGGATTTAATGAGGATTCTCACACGACGTTTTCACAGAAGAAGATGAACGACACAAATACATGAAATCACAAAAAGAAGTTGAGAATAGGTTGAACATTTAAAGGTAAATATTACTACACAATAAACCGGAGGGAATAAAGTTGTTTATCACTTACTGTACAGTATCTCTCCCCCCCCCCTCCCCCTCCTTGCCTGTTATCAGCAGCAGGTAACCGTCGTAATATGCTTCAAGAAGCATATTGTTGCTACGCCGTTGTTTCTGTGTCCCTCCTCTGCGTCCTCATCCGTCAGTTAATCACTCCCCCCCCCAAAAATACTCTCCCTTCCCCGCTCTCTGCCCCCCCCCCCACCCCCTCCTCCCCCAGGTAACAGGTTCTCCTTCTGCCACGCCTGCCTGCTGGTGGCCGGCGTCTGGTGCTACGCCGGCGTCTTCGCCGTGGGCCCGCTGTCGGGCTGGGGCGAGTACGGCGCCGAGCCCTACGGCACGGCGTGCTGCATCAACTGGGACGCGCCGAGCAAGGGCGCGGCGGCCATGAGCTACATCGTCTGCCTCTTCTTCTTCTGCTACGTCGTGCCGTGCACCGTCATCTTCCTCTCCTACACCTTCATCCTGCTGACCGTGCGGGGGTCCCGGCAGGCCGTGCAGCAGCACATGTCCCCGCAGAACAAGATCACCAGCGCGCAGTCGCTGATCATCAAGGTGGGCGGTTCGCTTCGCGAGTGGTCCGTCTCTTTACAGAAGTTAGACTTATACTGTCCGTGTCTTGGGTCAAAGTCCTGTGCTAGTTGGGCCTTTCACGCCCCCTTTGTGGTGCAAAAGAACCGTACTGGTAGTACCAGTAGAGCAGAGAGCTAATGCACCAGGTCGACCCAGGACTCCCATGATGGGGCTGCTGACTGGTACCGTGGGCCATTTGGTACCTTTCTGCCTCACGGACCGGTCCTGGTCCTGGTTGGGGACCCCTGTTCTGTAAGATGAGCCAAATTCATCCACAGGAGGAAGAGTTTCAAGCTTCTCTTTCTGTGTGTTTCGAGGGCCCCTGACCCCGGGGGGCTTTTGGGGTAGATCACAACTCAGCGTCCCGGGTTGCTCATTGCATGAACTCGTTGTGACTTTGTGAACCGTGCGCCTCTTCTTGCAAAGAATAAAACGGGTTAAAATCATTCATGCTTATTTCTACAACCCCCCCCCCCCCCCTCCCCGGGACTCAAAGGTGATCTTCCAGCCGACCTTCCATCACCAAGTTGCCCTTCATACGGGGTCAGCTGCTCGGTCCGCCGTGGCCCAGGAGGCTGCTAGACCTTTGTCAGGGAGAACAGTTGGACCTGGAACAACTTTGTTTTTACGTTATATTTGTGTCCTCCTTTCCAGCTGTCTGTGGCGGTTTGCATCGGCTTCCTGGTGGCGTGGAGTCCGTACGCGCTCGTGTCCATGTGGGCGGCGTTCGGCGACCCGACGGCCGTGCCGCCCATGGCTTTTGCGCTGGCGGCCATCTTCGCCAAGTCCTCCACCCTGTACAACCCGATCGTCTACCTGGTCTTCAAGCCCAACTTCCGCAAGTCCCTGTGCCGGGACGTGGCCCTCTGCCGGACCACCGTCTGCGGGGGTCTGAGTCCGCACGGCTCGCCGCAGAAGGGATCTTGCAGGCAATCCTGTCACATGGAGGAGTGCAACTCCACCAGGATGTCCAACGGGCTGCAGGAGAACCACGGCGCCTGCAGACACTGCCCCTGCCCCGAGAGAGTCAGCGGGGGGGAGAACTTCCCGGAGTACAGCCCCAAGCAGACCGCCAGGATACTCAAAGGATCCATGCACAGCGAGGTGGCCGTCAGCCAGCTCTCCAACGAGGTGCAGAGCGACTTCCTGTAGAGACGCGGCAGTGAGAGGAAAACAGACCAATGAGGAACAGAAGTTGCTGAAACACAATGAAAATCAAAAACAGTAAGGATTGATTACCCTCTAAGGCCGGGTAGTTCTGGGGCTGTTTTGCTCCTGGATTTTCACCCTTAAATAAAAGTCCCGCTCCTCTAATGGAAACAACACAACCAAGGCTACAAGCAGAGAGAAAAACGCCTTTAGGGCAGAATAACATTATTATGACCTTTGACAATATAATATTGTAAACAGCGTAAAGCTGGAAACTATACATCCATCATTTCTCCAAAGTGTCAACAAGTAGAAGAAACTGGAAGCTCTCCATAAACTCATTGATCGGGTCACTTTTTAAAAACCTCTCTGCTGTTCAGCAACATTCAGATTCTTTTTTCAAATGACTGTTGGTCTCAAATGAGTTAAAGTTTTTTAACAGAATCTATTGAGAGCAAGATTTTTTTGAAGCGCTTATTTTTTACAGCTTCTAGCTCGGATAACAGGCGTAGCGCGGTCGATTGATTAGGTATCAGCTAAGGGTTAAAAGAAGAAAGAAATGGTGAACTTCTATGGCCAGCGTTGCTTCATGCCTCAAATATGTGCTACTGCCAAAGAAAAGAACCACATAGTAATCGTAGTAATGATAGTAATCCAATACTGGAAAAGCAGTGAAACACCCAACATGTAATAATAGATCAGTCCATCACATCTCAACTTTCTAATGTCTCAATATCAAGCCTGTGTATTTGTGTGTGTTCTGGGGGGTGTTGGATGTCTGAGATCAGCGTATGCAATACGTCCTACTGAAGTACCAGTACACACATATCCACGATGCAAAAACACTAGATTATTCAAACAATGGTCCAAGATGTACAGATATTGTGCAATCAAGTAAAAAATGAGCACCAGGGCAAAAGACTTAAAGATTAACACATTTTTAGGGCGACACCGTGGCGTGGTGGTTAGCACTGTCGCCTCACACCAAGAAGGTCCTGGGTTCGACTTTCTGTTCTCCCCGTGTCTGCGTGGGTTCTCTCCGGGTTCTCCGGCTTCCTCCCACAGTCCAGAGACCTGCTCTGGGGATCAGGTTGATTGGGGACTCTAAAATGCCCGTAGGTGTGTGAATGGTTGTGTGTCTGTGTGTTAGTCCTGCACCAGTCCAGGATGTACCCCGTCTATCGCCCGAAGTTGGCTGGGATGGACTCCAGCCCCCCCGAGACCCTGCGTGCAGGATAAGAGGTTTGACGATGGATGGATGGAAAACATATTTTTTTAGTTTTGGTGGAGATTTGTTGTTGTGAACAATGTGCTCACCAAAATCTTTTCTGGCATCTGGAAACATTGTGACAGTCAACTTCAACAAAGAGGAAATTCTTTATTTTTCTAACCTTGATTTAACCATTTAAAAAAGACAAAACCTCTTGACTGGCATCCACTTACAACAAGAGGACGAGGAACAATCCATCCGGACTATCTAAACTACTTTAAGTGTGTTTGTGGAGATTCAATTGTCCATTTATTTAGCTTTTATCTCCACAACCAGGACATTCTCTTATCAGTGTGACACACAAACAGCAACACAAAGACTGAACTTTGTTCCTATGCATCGACACGGCCCTCTTGGGAAAGAGGAGAGGGATTTCTGCGTGAGACACATCGGGTTTCCGCGCCTCTCAACATCATTCTGGCCAAAAGTGCTTGGTGTTTGGGGAGGACGGTGGTTTAGGAGTCTTAGTAACATCAACGCTACCTCTTGCAATGCCGCTGTATATGAGTCGCGAGGTGCTGAGTCGCCCCCAAAAGGACAGCGGCTTCGTGTTAACTCATCTCACGCGTCCCGTATGTTTTCTACACACCCTTAAGGGGACGAAAGGTATTTTTGCAAAAGTGAGTCACTGCAAACAGTACAGGTCCTGCAGCATGAAGACATAACTGTCCTGCCTTTGTATTAGCATGATTGCTGCAGCAGAATGCAACATTAGCGTTGGACAGACACACACACGTGGTCATCCTTCACAGAGATGTAAAGTCCATGGAGACCAAATTTGGCGCCCCTTTTTCTCCACATTGAGGCGGAGCTGTGGATGGTTGACCCGAGGCTCACTGAGACGTGACCTCCAGGACGCCGTCCCCCATTCAGAGAGAACAACGACGCGCCTTTTCTCTGACGTCCACGACCATCGATCCTCTTCAAGACGTGTCGAGACAGAACCGGTTCCATCTCTGTATATAACATCTGTTGCACGGTACCCCGGTTCTCCAAGGAGAAGCTCCTGTGATTGTCCCCCGGCTCTGGTCTGTGAAGGACGGGACGGGAGGACGAGCTGGAGCGTCCGTGACGTTCAAATGTCCCCGCTGGATCCAAGCGTCTCACACAAACCGCTCCGTTCCCTGGTGTTTGTTGTACCACTATGCAGGTTGCCATTAAACACACACACACACATATCAAAGACTCGTCCTCCAGTCGTCAGCTGGACACACTCTGCTTTTTTGGCACCAAACTCTCGTACAAAAAAGACAAAACAGGAAATCATAACTGTGAAAATCTGACTCAGAAGTCTCTCTTTTTCTACTCCGTTCTACTGGAGGAACCTGGGAGCATATATTCTGAGTCACAAGCCATTCCTACCCGGGTCCTCTCCACTGGCTCTTCTCAGTCAGAGTTCAGGGATTTTAACGAAGACGTTGGTTTGCATGTATGTCGATGATATGTGTATGTAAAGATGCCAAATAAGATTCATATATTAGAATGAATAAAAGCCTCAAAGTGTATATAGGGATGGGGAAAGCCCTGGTTTCCTAAGATGGGGGGGGGGGGGGGTCCATCCATCCATCTAGCAGCTAGGACTCCTCATTTCAAAGTGAGATCTTTTCTCTGTGTTATTTCAGCTCGGTGGCTTTCAGAGGGTTCCTGGTAGTTTTCCTATTACAGGGTTTTAGTGCGGAACAGGGTCCCTGCAGCGAGACACTTCCCAACAGCCACATGTCCCAGAGCCACGAAATAACGTCCCTAAAGCGCCGCTGGGGGGAAAATCACGGTGTCGTTGTGCATATGCAGCTTCTATGAAGGTCACGTTTTCTACCTCCCAGCTGATCATGGAATGTACTTTTGTTGTCTGAAACTTGAATGGGAGATGTGAGGAGAAATGATCCGCGCGTGGTCAGATTTTTAGTTGAGCAGAGTGTTGAGTCTTGGTCTTGGAGACGCGGGGCTGCAGCAGCAGAAAGGGGACGATGCACTTATTGAATTCCCCCCCCGGCCGACAGCGGGTCTGCGCTCTGCGATCATACGCCTGAGCGAGCCCCGCTGTCGACGCGGCGACGCCAGGGCGAGGATGCGACTGGAATCTGGATTAGTAATCCCGGTTCCTCTTTAGTCTGAGTAGAGAACCGTCCTCAGGAGATGTCAGATTGCACTTATCACACACACACACACACGCACGCACAGCCCGAGACACAAACAAGGCAGAATGTGGCAGTGTTGTACATAGATCTATGTTGATATAGATATATATATATAAAAGGAGATCTATATATAGAGATTTTGAAATATTATAACAGTAAAATTGTACTGTTGTTGTCTGTGAAACTTCAGAATCATTGTGACAAATGTTTACATCCTTTGGTAATTTGTTTTGTTTAATAACAATATTGAGGATTGTATAAAAAGTGTTAACCATCCGAGGACCTGTCATTTGTTCTGGGGTTTAATGGAATGATAAATAAATATAATTCAGGAGAATACCACAACTTTCCTCTTTCCTTTCCTCTACTGTGTTTGTAGTGTTGAGCATGAAGCTACAACAAGCGTCTCCCCATAACTTCCTTCCTCAAGCTGTCGAGATCCTAAAATGCTCCTCACACGTCGACCTCATGGTGGTGCAAGGTCAAAGGTCAGGCCACCCCTGGGTGAATGACCTGCAGTAAGGTGAATGAATACATGCGGTACACAGTATTACTGCAGATGCAGCTTCTGTTTGCATTGGGACACACGCGGAGAAGCTTCAGAGCTCGGCGCAGTGGTCTTCTGTAATGGAGTCATCAGAAGACCCCTCCCCACCCCCCCGGTGTGGTTTGTATGGAACCCACCACTCAGCACTCATTATGTGCAAAAATCCATTCAGAACATAATCTTAAGCAAATATGAGGCTTCAGCAGTGTGTTCGCAGCAAGGCGGGCCTTTCAAGAATAATGCTCCCCCCCCCCCCGACCCCCCCGACCCCCCAGTGGGGAGGGATGGTAAAACAGAGAGCGGGACTTAAGGACTGTTCGTCTGGACTTCTGAGGCCCAATTAGATTCACATGAAGTCTGGAAAATAACACAGAATGAAGCCTGAGGATTTTGTCATTCATCACTTTTGTTTAAACCTTATTTGGAAACCACCCTACACACACACAGACACACACACACACAGACACACAGACACACACTGCGTTTAGCTGCTTGAGGTGGGTGACGTCAGTGCACGTGAAAGAAGAAGTGATGCCGCTCCCTTCATCGATTCTCTCCCATGTGAAGATAAACCATGAAACATTACATAATGCGCGTTAGCGCTGAATGACATTTAATCATTTTAATCTTAATCCCCAACCACCAGTTCCGCTGCAGCCTCCGACCTTCAGACTCCACTTATTAGTTTGTTACGAGTCATAAATAGATTCAACAATGTTGCTGTTCCAGCTATTAGGACTCTGCATGTCTGAGATACATTGAGTAACGGCGTGTAGTTACTAAACTCAGCGACTTCCTGTGTGGAAGATGAGGCTTTGTGCAATGACATAAATACAGTATTCATCAAAATAATGCTGTCTGATAACAGATTCAGCACCACGTATTCATGATTGCTGCTTTATATACTTGAGTTAATAAGTGGTAAAGGTCGGTCGGTAGGAAGAGGAACACTAATGATATCATTAATAGTCCACATATGTGGTTTGGGGAGTAAAAAGGTCCTCCAGTGATGCAGATAATGACCAATGAATTAGCTTTGCCAACAGCTCACGTCCGGATAAGATGTCACAGGGGAGCTTTTGCATTTCCGTGGATAAAATAATAAAGTAATGAAGTTTTTGGTTCTAGTGTCGAACCGTCCTTCACAGCTGGGGACACTGTCCTCGGTGTCGCAGGTCAGCCTCCCTTTGTCTGATACGGAGGCCGACACGCATCTATTCATGAGATCTCCCCGTTGTGCTTCCTCCTGTAAGCTAATTCCACTCCCTAATTGGATAACGTGTCCATTGGGACCGCTGACCGACACGCACGAGGCCTATCAGCGACGGGACGAGGTCAAGGGTTAACGAGGCCCGCTGAGGAGGATGCCATACATTGGCCACGCAGTCAGTGGGGGTTTCTGGGTAATAAGTTGGCGAAGAAACCACCAGCGTAGTGCAGAGTGCAAGTCGAGCGATCCAGCGCCACGGGCGTGATAACGGGCTGCAGGTCAAGGTTCATCGCGTCGACAGAAAAGGTACGTTGATCAATTCCTCCGCAGAGACTTAGAGCAGATCTTAAGTAAAGGTTATGGGATTATCAAAGTAATGAGGGTGTATCCTCTGGGTACCATGATTGGGTCGATACCCTGGTGGGTTCAGCAGGTTTTTCTCTCCCTGAGCTCATGCATCGTATCTAAAAACTAATAATATTCCACATACAGTGAAAATGTGTCCTCTCAATGTCATAGAAATGCTCTTATTTTAAATGGGGACAAAAGTCAATTTGCGCCACTAATTACATTTCTGGGCGCAGCGACGATTCATTAGTTTCATGATTCATGAATTAGGGGGATACTTCTTTTTTTATAATTGAGTACTTTTTCCAATTTATAAGAAATAACCTCCTTAAGCTCCTTTACTGGACCGTGATGTCATGCTGGTGTGGTATTCACATGGCGTTGTGTTATCGCAATGAGCTGGCAGATATTAACCACGTCGGTGCGTTGTGCTGCTGTTGTGTTTGCTTAGCGTGTGCATGCTAACCGTTAGCAGCAGCATGCTAACGCGCTAACATTAGCGGCACCTCATCTGGGCCTCGGTGCAGCTGCTCTGGAGTCCTAAAAAGGGCAAAGTAAAGATTTAGATTTAGTGAAGCAACACGTTTGCTGCTCCGCCGACCCGACCAGAACCGATCAGATATCGTGTCTCAATGGTTCACCAACGGCCTCCGTCTATCTTTGACAAAACCACAAACGTTTATGTGGCCTACTGTTGTTTTCAGTCTCCCAACATCTACCCGTGGAGAGCAGTGTCTACTCACCCGACTCGGGGCTCTTGGGTTTGGACCCGTTGAAAACACGGACCTGAATCTCCGTGAACAGATCTTTCATTCACAACGAGAAGCTGGAGGCACAGGCGCCGATTCAACCGCCTCATAAGTCTTCTGGTTTTCCAGGCTGCTGGTGGCAGACGTCCCACACAGAGAAGAGCAAGCGACCCGGTTACAGCCGTGTGACCCCTGCGGGTGGGATTCAATCATCTGCAAAGTACAAATTGAACTGGATTGAATGTTTATAGTGCGCGTGTGTCTGAGAAGGTGTCTGTCGGTCGTCGTCCGACCAATAAAACGTTCTGTTTCCTTCATTCACGCCTTTTGTCTCTGATCTGAACGGTGTCCCCTCGGCTCCTGTGAGGTTCCTCCTCGGGTCGAACGTCCTACCGACCTCGGGGAGTCGGATCCGAAGCTGAAGCTTCTCCTCCCTCCATCTCTCACGTCCCTGCTTCGTTTGTCACCTGCAGTAACACTCGCTGTGGGTTTGAGGTTCGATTCCCTAATGTGGTCAGCAGCCCGCGGTCACATGACTGATTACAACGAATCCCTTTTGTTTGCTGATCCCGTTGACCTGCTCATTGTCTGTTTAATAGAGCCCTAGGTCATGTCTCCCTATTCGACGTCTAGTTCCTCCCAATTAGCAGGGTGAGTTTGTGGTATTATCAATGTGCCTGTGTGTTTGTACTGTAACAAGGAACCAGATGTGAAGTTATTACAGTGATGAAATAACACACCTGTTGCCTTCAGGAGCTTTTCGTGTATTTGTGCAGCGTTTTATTGTGTTGGATTTACACACAGCTGAAGCGTAACATTCACATCACCTGCATTTCAAACTAAATATTAATTCACAGCAGAGACACCGTTAATGTTGTGTGTTGGGGGGGAGGAACTGTGTAATAAATGCCCCTCGAGGCCTTTTCTATTCATTTTGAAACTCGTGGCAGGACTGATGTTTGATTACAAAAGGCAAGGCAATTTTATTCGTATAGCGCTTTTTATACACAAGGCAGACTCAAAGTGCTTCACATCATTACATTTCATACAATAAAGTGAAATAAAATGCGGGAATTAAAAGACAATAAAATGACATCACATGTAGTGATTTACATGTGAGCGGTAGGATTTTGAAATTAACTACACTATTTATACGCTACCGATTTGCAAATGTTTCTTGTTTATTTGTGTCCAAGGAGCCTTTGATGAGTTGGTGACGGATCATCTCGGGGGAACCGGAGTGAACACGTTGGAGATGAATCAAATAAAACCAAATGAGGTGGTGTGAGTGTTTGCACCTCACGACAGGATGCATATCAATAGAAGCACAACGTCATAACAATATATCCAAAAACGTATTGACTATGTAAACAATGATATTACAACATGATTCTATATCACACTATAAGAGATCACCAGACACAGCAAAGATATGCTGCATTGTACTATACCGTGACATAATGCCATATTACACTACATCACATCACGCACTCTTACTATAAGTCTCATCATATATCACGTCAGAGTGTTCAGAGCTTATCGCTTCGTCTCCTTGTTCTTCCAGCGTTTGATCGAGTGTGAGACTCGCAGCGGAGGTCAGCGCGTCTCCATAAGTACAATGAAAACGAGCCTCTTTACCGGATCATTTTGTGTAGGAAAGAGAATAAATATCTTCACTTGGTCCACCTGGTGTTCGTGCACAGATGAACATACGCGGCTCTGACATGGCGCTTGCTGTAGAATCGGATGTGTGTGGAAATGTTTCAAAGGCTTTTCAAAGGACGAGGAATCCAACAGGACGTCGTCGCTCATCTGCTACACGGAGTTATCCTCGATGATGGAAGTTAGATTTGATTTAATGAAACGCGCTGGATCTCTTTATTCAAATTGAGGATTAGGTTGTTGAAGGATTTATGCGATGGAATTGTTTTTCTGGGGGGGGAGGATTCAGCCTGACAACCACCAGCTGAGACACACATTTCTCTCGTGTGGACATGTTGCATTCTTTGTCTCCATTCATCACACAGAGGAGATGAAGATACTTCGGCGGAAAGCTTCCCATTGGCTCCTCGTGTTCCATTCCTCCACGCGACCTTCACGTGTCCTCATTCCTCAGTGCCGGGGTGGATCCAACACCTCCCCCAGCATCACCTGGATGGGAGCAGAGACGGCCTGTGAGGACCGTTTGTCACGGAGGACACGCGAGAACATTCCATAGAACTAATGCAGACTTCTGTGAAGCCTCCAGACATTCCCACGTCATTTCATTAGTTTCCCTCCTTATTGGGAGCCCGACCATCAGGTTTCTCCTAAACTCAACATTAGATGGTTCATTGTACGTAATGAACGCATGAATATGACCAGATAATCACAATCAGCTTCATTGAGGTTGATTCTCGTGTTTCTGTGACATCAGAGGAAGCGTAAAGAAGCTTGAATAAAAGGTGAAGCTGATCATGAACGAAGCTGCAGGCTTGCCGACGTTGCATGAAATGAAATGTTCAGATTAATTCGATTTTTAAGTGTACTTATGAGGAAAGAAATGCATTCAGCGTGCTGTGTTGGAGTGTGGTGAACAACCGGCTTTAACAAGTCCCAGAAGGAGAACAAACGTTTAAAAATCACTAATAGTTTTTGAGGGCTCATTTTAAAAAGTTAAGAAGTCAAATGCTTCCTAAACACAAAAACAAATTAAGAAATGTCAAAGGATTTCCAAACGCCCGCCCAGACTACGGGCCGACGTCCACGTCTACAAACGCTCTCTCATCGGAGAGACGTGTGTTATCAGTAAAGCTGCTACAAACCAAACCAAACCAGCGTGATCACCTGCTCGCTCCCTTCTGCACTGAATGAAGCCTTTCCATCAAAGCACAGATCAGAGGTAAGAGATTCATCTGAAGCTTTATCAGCAGTTACTTAAAAGGCTTTTGCATAATTCGTGTTTCACACAAGTCTGGAATTTAAAGCATAACTGCTGCAGATGGTAGAAAAAGTAAGTAAGTAAGTTCGTTCTTTGGATAAAATATTGAATTTAATAAATGGAAAAGCTCAGCAACTCTTGGTCAACTTAAAGGGTTATTAAAGGGTATTACTTTTGGTTTCTTTTGCTGGGTGAAAGTCTCGTGCAGAAGAAAGAAGACATGGAGGGTGGACGGTGAGACCAACAGGACCTTCGGCAGACCTCATGTCTCAACGTGCTGCGGAGTCACTTTGAAGTTGGTGATTTTCAGCTCTTGTGTCCACGTTAAACCTCTCTTACTAACTCCAAACATCTCCTGTATGGAACTACGCGGGTTCAGTTCCTTGAACCTAATAAAGTGCCACAGTGACAGGCGGATGGACAATATGTGTCTCCTTTCTACGCGTCCAGGATCTCACACTTGTGTTTTCATGCTCCACTGACATCCACAGTCCCTCTCTGCCCGTCTCCATTTCCTCCCGACCCTCATCCTCCCCCCTCATCCTCCCCCGCCTGTGGCCGTCGCCCCTCGTCTCGCTCAACGCCGTCTCTGTGCATCACTCGGCTCACATTAGCCCATCTGCCTCGATGCCGTCGCCTCCTCCCGCCTTCCATCACGTGGATCCATTCCCCTCCAACGCGCCGTCTCAGCCGCTCATCACTTCCTCGTCACCAGCGACCGACTCGCGACTCTGAGGTCAGGTCAAAAAACGCAATGGGAAACAAAGTAAAAAAAAATAATTAGGTTGAAAAATGTTTTGAAAAAAAGTATAAATATGTTAGGTCAAAAATATCATGGTAAAAAGAAAAAGTATTAGGTCGAAACACACACATATATATATATATATATATATATATATATAATTTATAATATATATATATTATATATATACACATATATAAAATATATATATATTATATATACACATTTATAAAATATATATATACATATATAAAATATATATAATATATTATATATAAAATATATATTATATATATATTTTAATATTTCATGTCAAAAATGTCATGGAAAAAACACTAAACTGGTCCCATATCGTTAGCAGAGAAGACTACAGTCCACAATACAATAAAACACATAAATGCGTTAAGTTGGGTTTTATAAGAGTGTGTGTGTGTGTGTGTGTGTGTGTGTGTGTGTGTGTGTGTGTGTGTGTGTGTGTGTGTGTTCTCTGCTCAGGGCCGTTTGAGCATGTCGTGTTTCTGCTATAAAGCACTTATGCCGTCCTTGGGATTTTAGCAATTTGAACAAAAAGGAGGAAATCACGTTGCAGGATAAGCAGTCAAAAGGATGTCAAGGCCAAGTGGAGCACGCGGTCACACTCGCTTCGTCACCACTTCAAAAAGGCAAGAGCAGCACAAAACAAAAGTCTCAAAGAGCAGTCAAGAGGTTTTCCCTCAGCGTGTTTCTGTCTTGATTGTGATTGACACGCTGAACAGATTAGTTTGGGTTTGATATAAAACTTTACACAAAGTGGTTGTTAACAAGTGTCTAAATTAGACAACTAAACATAATGCATCACATCGTCATACGTCTTACCGTGTTAATTTACACTCCATACATGTGGCTCTTTTAGAGGCCTGTCAATCAGTGTGTAACAATTCAAGCAAAACCAATCCATCCGCTCGTATAAATCTATTGGGATTGTTGTGTAGTGAAGAGGTTTTTTCCCTTTGGCGAACTGCTGCCGTGTCTCTATTCATAGGTGTTTGTCCCCATCTGCTGGGCGCACAGGACAGACGCACAGCAGGACGCAGTGAGAAGACGTCCCCGGGGACAAAGCACCTCAGCGCTCGGATACGACGTTCAGAGGTCTGTAGTGATTCAAAAAGACAGAAACGCCAAAAGCGATTTTTTTTTTCCCAGAATTTTATTCTTTAAATTATTTTATAAAATCTCATTTATGTTTCAATATATATATATATGGATTTATATATATATCTATATATAATTATTTTTTTTAACCAATTAATAAGTTTGGCTATTTTCCCTTCCCACCCCCCTATATACCCACATTTTTTGTTAAGGTCCACACCCCTTCATATTGTGCAATGAGCCAATGGGGGGGGGGGGGGGGGGGGGGCCCCCCCATGAAAAACCAAAAAGGGCCCCTTCACCCCCGGCCCTTTCCCAAAAAAACAACCCCCCCCCCAAGGGG